TTTTACGTTCTTCCTAAGCCCTTTCTAATTATATTAACACATAATCTTTTTAAGCGTCTTTTTTACACTAAAGTAGCCTACTAATAGGCTGTTATAGCACTTCTAGAACGCTTCTACCTTCTTTTAGTCTATTATTAGGGTCTTTCTTTCTATATTAGCTATAGCATGTTATTCTAGCCTATTCTAGAGATAAGTGTCTTTATTAAGGTTCTTTTTATCCTTTATTTTACTCTTAGTGTTTAATAAGTCTATTTTATTATAGTCTTCTCTAATACCTAACATAAGGTCTTTATTATTATCCTTTTCTAGTTCTTTACCTATAGCTCTTTTAAAATCTAGCTGTTTTAGCCCTTATTTTTTTTTAAAGTAGTCCCTAGCTAAGCCTAAAGAATCTTAAGAATGTGTAATAGCTATAACTATTAATTCTTTATTATAATCTTATTAATTTAAAAGGTTGCGCATGTCTATTACATACGCTGCATTCTTCTTCTAGGAAGGCTATTATAACTTCTTAATGTAGTTAGGTCTTCTTAAGGGTCTATCTGCTAGGTTTAGCTTCCCTAGACAGTGCGTAATAATAAAATTGTATTCTGTTATCCTTTTATAAGCTTAGACCTGCTAGTAGTTTAAAGTTTTAGTTTCTATAAACTAGCAAAAATTATTATAGTTTATAAAAAGTTTAAATAGTAGACCCTAAAGGTAATGTTGCTAATATGCTAAACTTTTGTTAATAGTAAGTAACTTCTTATTATAAGTATTATAATTATACTTAGCCTTGCTTATCTTTTTTAAAAAGAAGCTAATTAGCCTTTATTAAGCCCTTCTAGTCTTATCTAAGACTAATTAGCTTAAAATGCTATAAATTACGCCCTCTAAAGTGTTAACCTCTACTTTAGTTTTCCTATTAGCATTAAAATAAGCTAATATAAGAACCTTAAGAAATAAGTTTTAAAGCTTTTAGAAGGCTACTTTACTTTTAGAACTAATATTAAGCTTCTAACTTTTTTTCTACCTTTACTCTTAACTACCTTTTGCTGCGTCTAGGCCCTTCTAGGTTAGCTTAGTAAGGGGCAGGGTAATTAAAGAGAAGTTAGCAATAAACCACCTATAGTAGTTTATAAACCCTATAAAAACATAAATATCTTAAATAGTCTTTAGCATTAGCTACTTCTAGATTATTTTAATTTTTAAAGAGTTAACTTTAACTCCTTTTAGGCAAACTATGTACTCTAGGTACTTAGTTTTCTACGTGTAAAATTTACACTTACTAAGTTTTAAAAAAAGCTTTACTTTACATAATCTTTATAGCACCTTCTTAACATAAATAACTTGTTTCTTTTCTGTGTTAGAATAGACTAGAATATTGTTAAGGTACATAATACACGTCACATTAACTAACCCTGCTAGGGCCTAGTTAATATAAGCCTAGAAAGCTGCAGGAGCATTAGTAAGACTAAAAGGCATAACTTAGTACTTAAAATAACTATATTAAGTCTAGAATACTGTCTTCTACTTATCTCCTTTACAAATATGTAATATATAGTACGCATTATAGATATCTAGCTTTATATACTACTTTGCCTTCTTAAGTCTCTTAAGAGATTCTAAGATAAGCAGCAGTAAGTAATAATTTTTTATTATAATCTAGTTTAAGCCTTTAAAATCTATATAAAGCCTTAACTTTTTATCCTTTTTCTTTATAAATAAAATTAGAGCTCTTATAAAAGACTTAGACCTCTAAATCTACCCTTTTTATAAATAATTATTAATATATTTATAAAAATGCTATAACTTATACTCTAACAAGTTATATAGTAGTTAGTAAGAAGGCTTTGTCTCTTCCTCTAGCTTAATAGCTAGATCCTGTAGGCTATGCAGTAGTACTTTTAACATCTTGTTAGACTTAACTATGTCTGCATATTTTTTGTACTCTAGTCTTAACTTAAGCTCTACAGGTCCTAAAGAATCTTTAGTGTTATTAGACAGCACACTGCAGACATAGACATCTGTATTAGGACTCTACATAGTTTGCTTAAACTCTGCTGCGTCTTCTAAGGCCACCTTAGCATACTTTAGCACACTATAGTCTTTTACGCCTCTAAACAACATATGTCTTGTATAAAAGTTTAGCTTTAGATTAAACTAATTAATTTAAAGTAAACCTAAATATATTAAAGGTCTCTTTAAGTCTGTTACTATAAACAGCACCTTATAAGTCTAGACTCTTCCTTAGGAGTCTATAATCTTTACATTTACAACTGTAAAGCTGTAGATAGCAAAGTCTAATCTATTAGGTGCCTTTAAAAAGACACCTAGTAGGGGCTTAATCTTAAGATCCTGCTTTTTAGCTATTATAGTAGACAGGATGTTTAATTTAGCTTTTCTATCTACTACAGCCTAAAAGTCTTTTAATAACCCTATGCTTACTGTTACTAATAATAAAGTTAACCTTTTTAAGTATAATAAGTCTTAAAGGTTTCTAAGCTCCTTTTTATTACTTACTAAAGTAATATAAGCTAGAAGAAAGAAGCTTAGTTTTTTTAGCTTTACTCTTTTCTCTTTTACTTATTCTTATTAGACTTATTTTTATCTTTGTCCTTTATAGAATAATCTAGAGAAATATAACCTAGCTACTTATAATTCTAGTAAGTAACTTTTATTTTATTAAATTTTTACCTTTTTCTAGCTTTTTTTTTAGCTTAAAGGCTTTTTTTATTTTTTTTTTAGGCTTCTTTAAGTCCTTATTAGCTAGAGGTAAGGTAGAACGCTTTTATGTTCTCTTCTTTTTTAACTTTAGCCCTTTTCTCTTCTGCAGGCAGTAGTAGGATATGTTGCTCTACTCTTTTACCTAAGCTAGCGTCTCTTGCTTACTTTGTAGGATATACGTTAGATCACGCTTAATCTTGTTAGATAGCGTGCTACTAAAGTCTACTATTATCTTTTCTAGGCTCTTCTTATTAACTTTAGTCTATAATAGCCTAAGGTAGGCTAGAAGTTTAGTTAGAAACTAGTTAAGTTATTATTTATAGTTCTTTATAGTGTTATAAGCTACCTTTTTTTATTCTACTAGAGTACTTAATGCATTAAGCATCTTATTTTTAAGATCTTACTATGTTAGTAACTATAATAAGTTAATAAGCTTTAAATAAGTGTAGTGTGTCTTTTATAGTAATTATAGTGTTTTATTAACATATTATAGGCTAAAAGAGATCTTCTGTAATTCCTAAGTAAAGCTTAATAGACTCTTTTAGTAATAGTCCTTATTATCCCTACACTACTAGTTGTAGTCTGCCCTGTTCTTTTTTTTGTATTAGTGCGGTAGTTTAGGACGCAGTAGGTTTGCTTAGTTTTAGGTAGATTTTAGTATAATAACATTTAATACCTTAGTTAGTAACTTATTAAGTGTGTCTATATTACCTGCTTTAAATTAACAACAGATTTTTATTATCCTAGCTAGTTCTTGCGCTTCCTGCTGCTCTTGCAGCTAGGCGCAGGCTTCTGTTAAAGCCTGATTCGCAGGGGTGGACTGTGCGTTGCTTGGTCCTGCACTGGCCCTTCTAACCCCTTCTAGGCCCTAAACGCCTTCTAGATAGCTTAACAAGCCTAATCTATAAAGATTTTTATTATCCCTTTTACTTATCTCTTGCTCTGTTCCTCCCTGCGTTAGTGTTAACCCTAGTTAAGTATTACTAGAAGTAGTAGTTTTAGCTAGCTTCTTAGGTAATCTTTAAGCGCTAGTTGCATCTAATTCTCCTCTAGTGTTTTGCTTTAACACTATTATGTAGGAATGTTGCCCTTAAGCAGTATGCTAGCTTATAGAGTAATTTAAATGTAAAGATAGAATAGTAAGTAGCACAGATAGCACTAAGAGTAAGCTTTTAGAGAAAGATAGGGGTGTATTATAAGAGAGACAAATTGCTGCTAAGCTTTGCTTGTTAGGATTTATGCTTATATACGAAGCACAGGTCATACGACCTCCAAACAGGTCAGGTGAGGCCATACTGGCCCGTTCTGGGACATCCGGCCTTACACAGTGTACAAGGTAGGTAAGGTAAGGGCAACATGTTTCTAGTTTTATTACTCTTGTCTTTTCTCTGTACAGAGGAAAGGGGGGATATCTAGATGTTTGCGCACAGAGGTTTGTGCACAAGCATTATGTGACATAGATACGTAGTCCTGCTTATGCGCAATTGCTTGTATCTAGGCTGTAACGCTGCTGCTGCGTACAGACAACTTATATATAATAAGCTTTAGTAGTTATAAACTTTAAGTAATACTTTAAAACTTAAGTTATAATTAATACTTATAAAAATAAAATTTTAAAAGTATATAAATAATTTACTAACTTTTATTATTAAAGTGTTTAAAAAAGTTTTAAAAAAAGTAGTAATAATTATATATAAGCTAGTATTAGTATAATAAAAAATTACTAAACTTTAAGTAGCTAATAAGGCTACTATATAACATAAATTATATAAAAAAAAGTAAATTAAAGTTAAAAAAACTTTAATAATTTAAAAAAGCTTATACTTAATAGCTTTAAAAAAGTTTAAAGTGTATAGCAATAAAAAAAAAGTAAAGAAGTAGGTGTAAGCTAAAGTAAGTAAGCTATTTTAAAAGCGCTGTAAATAGTGTAATTAGACTAGGCATAACACGCAAATATGTAAGTAAGAAGTAAAAGTAGTATCTAAATAATGTTCTAGGCTATACTGTACTATATAGTGCTAGAGCGGGTTGTTATAGGCTATAATAGAGTTTGTTAGGGTGTAGTCTTAGCAAAAGTAAGCAACTCAGGTGTGTGAGCAACTTGCCTGTAAAGTACGTTATAGAGTTTTAGAGCTTCTAAAGAAGAAGGGGTAAACGTTAGAGAAACCGTCTGTTACGCGAGAACGTGCGTTACGCGATAAATACGTTAGAGTAGCTTGGGCCAACAAAATGCCAAGGTGCGGGGAGAGGCTCTTGGTCAACCCACTCCCGTCATGCAAGGACCAAGCTGCGTCACCACGCATCGTGAGCTCCACCTGCATCTCACGCCTCATCAACATCACCAACATGGGCGGCGAATCCCATCGCATCATGCCTGTATCTAAGGAATACCCGAAGCTCGCGGCCGGCCCTGTAGGCAAGCAAATTCATCATATCTACCAAGACCGGCTGAGGCAGTTCACCGATGGCGGGCAGTATCGTGAGCAAGGGCTGATGCCGTAAGTATAGCTTTTATCAAGACGAACAAACTATCCCAGATAGCCTATGATGGTTGATATACAAATTCGAGCTCCATTGAATGCTAATACCTTGCAGTAAGATCACTGAAAGCCGTGCCACAGGTACAGACTGGGTCAAACTGTCCGTCTACTCCCCTCCCAACCTCTCCCGACCAACCTTCAAAGAAGCTACCTGGAACAAATTCAAGCCCACTCACGTTGGCGAGTCCTTCGGTCCTAGTTGGTCGACGCATTGGTTCAAGGTGCAACTCACAGTCCCCAAGTACATGCGCGAGAAGGAGCGTCTCGAGTTCCACTGGGATGCCAACAATGAGGGCCTAATTTGGACTGAGAAGGGCGATGTGGTTCATGGATTGACCGGTGGAGGAGAAAGGACCGAATGGATACTACCTAAGGAGTTTAGGGATGGGAAAGAGCATGTGTTTTATATCGAGATGGCTTGTAACAAGATGTTCGGGAATGCACCCGACGGTGACTCGATTCAGCCGCCGGATCCAAACATGACCTATCAATTGCATACTGCAGACATTGTAGCCATCAACCTCAAGGCTCGCGCGCTGTACTATGATTTCTGGGAAATCGGAGGTAAGAGGCCATCACCGGAGCAGGAGGCGGGAACTAACTGGCGAATAGATGCAGCGCGGGAGTTTCCAAGCGACTCCTGGGAAAAGGCTCAAGCATTGCAGATTTGCAACCGCATCATGGACACTTTCATCGCTGGCGATGGGAGCAACGAGAGTATTGCGAAGTGTCGCAAGATCGCGAGCGAGTATATCGGAGACGTAGACACGCACAAAGTTTACAACGGCGACAAAGAGGCAATTGTGTCCGGCATTGGGTACTGCCACATTGATACCTGTTGGCTTTGGCCTTTCGCTGAGACCAAGCGAAAAGTTGCGCGATCCTGGTCGAATCAGCTTGACCTGATGGATCGATACCCGGAGCTCCGGTTCTGCTGTACGCAAGCGCAACAGTATAAATGGTTGGAATTGTACTACCCTGGAGTGTTTGATCGGGTCAAGAAGAAGGTCAAGGAAGGTACATTTCAACCTATTGGTGGCAGCTGGGTTGAACACGATACTAATCTTCCAAGCGGAGAGTCGCTAGTCAGGCAGTTTCTTTATGGGCAACGGTATTTTGAGAGCCGTTTTGGACAGCGATGCAAAACCTTCTGGTTACCGGACACATTTGGATATTCCACTCAACTGCCTCAGGTTTGCCGCGGTGCTGGCATGACAAGATTCCTGACTCAGAAACTGAGCTGGAACAACATTAACAACTTCCCTCACACCACCTTCAATTGGGTCTCACTCGACAACAGTCAAGTCGTCTGTCACATGCCACCATGTGAGACATACACTGCGGAGGCTAACTTTGGGGATGTGAAGAGGAGTGTTTCGCAACACAAGTCCTTGGACCAGGATAACACATCCCTTCTTGTCTTTGGAAAGGGAGATGGGGGAGGTGGCCCAACTTGGGGACATCTCGAGAAATTGCGACGATGCCGTGGCATGGCTGACAAGACTGGACTTGTGCCACGTGTCAAGCTTGGCGATTCAGCAGATGACTTCTTTGACCGACTGGAGAAGAAGGTCGAAGAGGGCCTTGAGCTTGCTACGTGGTATGGCGAGCTTTATTTTGAGCTTCACCGAGGCACCTACACCACACAGGCAAACAACAAGCGCAACAACAGGAATGCTGAGATTATGCTTAGAAACATCGAATACCTAGCAACTCTCGCGACGATCAAGGATAACTGCGGCAAGAAGAGCTCGTACAAGTATCCGAAGAAGGAGCTCGATGATATGTGGGAATCCACTCTACTCTGCCAATTCCATGACTGCCTGCCTGGAAGCTCTATTGAAATGTGCTATAAAGACTCAGATGAGGTGAGCATTCCACGAGATTTCGGGTAGATTTACTGATAGGATGTAGATATACGCCAATGTATTCAAGACGGGAGAGAAACTGATCTCTGAGGCACTTTCGGAACTGGGCTTCGATGACGAACCTACCGCCAACAGCAAACTCGCCGCTCTCAACACCCTCCCGTGGCCACGAACGGAGATTGTTAAATTACCCCCCTTAGCAAACCTCCCATCATACGGTCTTGCTCACGGCAGCGGTGCCGGCATCATGGACATCAGACCGCTTGCATGTCCCTACTCCGCACACATTGCTTCCATCAAAGAAATCCGAAAGGGCGTTTTTGAACTCAGCAATGCCCAGTACAAAGTCGGGGTTTCTAACGGCGTCATTACTTCCCTCTATGACATCTCCGCTAAGCGCGAGATTATTCCGAAGGGCAAGAAGGCAAACCAACTTGTCATTTTCGATGATAAACCGCTGTACTGGCAGGCTTGGGACGTGGAATTATATCATCTTGAATCTCGACAGGAACTCAGACCATCAAAGAGCTCGATTTCGGAAGATGGACCTTACCGCGTTTCTTTGGATATCGAAACCAAGATTTCAGAGAAATCTTGGATCAAAACAACAATCACGTTGCCGGCTGTTGTTAACAACACGCCTACATACATTGAAGTCAGGTCCGATGTCGAATGGCACGAAACGATGAAGTTCCTCAAAGTCGAATTCCCCGTCGACATCGTCAACACAGAAGCAAGCTATGAAACCCAATTCGGCATCGTCAAGAGGCCGACGCATTACAACACTTCCTGGGATATGGCGAAGTTCGAAGTGTGCTGTCACAAGTGGGCCGATTTATCCGAACACGGCTACGGAGTATCGATCCTAAACGATTCTAAGTATGGCTTCGCAACCGCCGGAAACATAATGCGGCTCTCGTTGCTTCGCGCGCCCAAGGCGCCAGATGGCCACGCAGACATGGGCCGCCACCACTTCCGCTACGCCATCTTCCCGCATAGCGGGCCACTAAGCGCGACCACCGTCCAAACGGCACTCAACTTCAACAACCCGCTCAAAATCATCGGCCACAAAACGACCGCCTCTCTTTCTCCCTCTCTGCCTGGAAGCCGCAGCCTCTACGCCCCATACACCACACCGTCCCTCCTCTCTTCTCTACGTATATCTAGCGCGCCAAACCTCATCCTTGATTCCATCAAGCGCGGCGAAGACGACGAGGATGTCTCACGCGGCGAACTCCCTGTCCGCAAGGAAAAGAGTGTTATCTGTCGCCTGTACGATAGCATGGGAGGGAAATCTACCGGGATGTTGATTTGGGGCGGTTTGCCGGTTAAGAAAGTGCTTAAGACTAATTTGTTGGAGGATGAAATTGAGGATTTGAGTGATAAGTTAGTGGACCTTGACGGCGGGAATGGGAGCGGGAGGGAGAGAGGGATTAAGATTGAGGTTAGGGCCTTTGAGATTATGACGATCAGGTTGGTTTTATGAAGGGGATGGGGGCAGGGGCGAAAGATGAGGATCCTGGTGGATAGATGGGATGGGCTCGGATATTTGAGAGATGGCGTCTGCTAGTATGTACTTCAAGCATCACGCTCACAGATAAATTGTATAGGCGTACATATGAGAGATGTAGACGAAGTGCTTAGTGCGTGATTGTAACCGTGATAACTGAATATATCCTTGTTTGAAGCATGCAAGAGGTTGCTCTCGAACCGATACGCTCTGCGGCGACGCTCCCACTTAAAAGGTAGGTAGAACTGGTGGTGGTTTCAAAGGATGCGCATACTAAGCTATGCGAGTCGTGGAAACAGGTGATTCTAAGAAACAAGGAGTAGAGAGACAAGAGAGTAGGGGACTTAGGACTTCCGTTCGCATTAAATATTCTCTCAGAAGTCTTTCCCCTTATATGCGGCAGCCAGAATTGGAACAGCGTGTTAAACGAGCCATAGGACGCTCAGTAGTTTACGGCGTCGTACTGTCTGGGTCCCGTAAATAGCGTAGTAGAATTTCAGAGGCAACGTAACCGTAGTTGACTCCAATTTGGCCGTATTTCACACTTCTATGGGGGTGGCTTTTGGCGGCCATACAAAGCTCACTATCGCGACTTTTCTAGGTGATGAGGTTTCGAAATTAGTGGCTTTTTAGATCTATTCTGTGCGTTAATCCGTGCAATGTCTTGGTATTTGTGTTGCGTCTTGTCCGCCTTACTAAGTCTATAAGAACATTAACTAAGCAACAATTTACTCTTATTGATGCCTAAATATCTATTATTTTAGCAAGATATTAAAGCTGTACAAACAGTGAGAGCACTGTGAAGCAGGAAGCATGAAGCGCAGAAGGCGGTAAAGGATAGTATTGATAGACAAATCCTTAAGGAGACTTAGGGGTTCGTGAGAGGATATGTATATATATGTACTAGGGCTAGGCTGAGTGCTCTCTAGGGAGAGTCTAAGGCATGTCTAAGTTAACTGTAACATAGCCCCCCTCTTTCTATAGGTTGTTCTTAATCCTGCAATTAGATAGATAGGATATTATAGTAACTTAGACTAGCTCTAGACAGACCTGCAGTAGAGACTATATATGTTACACCTAAGTAGTAACTATTACTAGTAACTAAACTTTAGAAAACTTTAGTAAAAAAAAACTATACTTAAAAAAGTATAGCTAAGTAATTTAAAACATTATTACTAACACTATAGCTACTAATATAAAGTGTTTTTATTTTATTAAGTTAAGCTTAATTAGCTTATAAAAGCTAAGTAAATTAAATAGTTTATAATTAAAAAGCTTACTTTTATAAAAGTAATTTAAAATTATAACCTTTTTTTTTACTATTTAGTTAAAGTTTACTTTTAAATGTTTTAAAGTTTTAGTTTTAGTACTTATATGTAACGACCGGCTATCTAGGTGTTTCCTCAGCTGACATAGACTGGCCTAGACCGCACTAGGCAGTCCTAGACAACTTCTAATCTGTGCTGTCAACCCCGCACTTCCCAGACAACGCCTACCTCGCCTAAAAAGCTGCGCATCCTAGACAGGTAATACTTTAAACTAGACCTACAGCATACTAGATTTGTTGCTACTAGCGCTGCTGTGCCTAGCTCTCTAAAGAAGTATATAGCTAGTTGTAGAAGCTCTCTTTAAATAGTAAAAAATTACTTTAAAAATCAAGTAAGTACTAATTATACTTTTATATTATAGTTACGCTTTTATTAGTTAATACACCTTTTAATTATAAAGTATATACTTTATTTTTTATAATATAATTCTTTACTTACTTAATAATACCTAGCATAACTATTACTACTTAAGCTAGTGTTATGTAAAACTTATAGACTTCTTTTATAAATAAACTACCTAACAAAGAGAGAACATCTGTGTAACCTCTCTAAAGACTGCTACTTTTAAACCTCTTTACTTAAGCTAAGACACTTTTAAAGAAGATTATAATAAGTAACATTACCTAACTAAATGCTAAAACCTAATAAAAAAAGTAAAAATAAAGTAAAAATAAAAATAAAAATAAAAATAACTTTAAAAAAACTAATTAAAAAAAATATTATAATTTTTTTAAAGGCTTTATAACTCTTTTTATAATAACTTAACTTCTATAGAGCTAGGGCTAGCAGCCCCTCTATAGACAGCTACTAGCTAACTCTTATTATTTCTACTTAGGATAGCTGCTCTTATATGCACTTTTTTAAGCTATAGTTGCCTAAGCTTAACTTACTTTTAAAGTTTAAAGAAAAGTCTTATAAGTAACTATAAGTATATATTAAAAGCTATAAAAAATATATTTAAAACTTTTAAGTCTTTCTAAATGCAGCATTATAGGTAGAGTTCTGCTAGGACTACTTAGAAAAGAACCCCTGTAACTATTAAAATAGAGTAGTATATATAATCTTTATAGTTAACTACTGTTACAGCCAACAAACAGACCGTAATTACCTAATTAGCTGTGCCTCATAGCTTGAACAACGCTAGATAGGCGGCGCTTAACCCTGTCCTAGACAGGTTATGTAACAAGACAGATAAGGAATAGCTTTAGCTCTTAGACAGATGTATTAAGAAATGCATTGTCTAATAGAGAGAGCATGTTTGCTTGCTACGCGCATAGCGCGCACAGCATGCACTGCATGTAAACCCTATGTATATAGTCTTAATTACAACTATAGTTAGAAGGGCGATAATTACTGTTTAGTCTTTACACATATAATAGACTAAGAGGCATTAATACCTTTATAAAGAGAACATTACTGCCTTATATATTTTATATAATATATACCTTTTATTTTATCTTTTTAGATTAGTTTACTAGCTCCCTATACAGCTACTAGGTTAAACTATAACCTGCCTTCCTTACCCTTGCCCTACTTATACTCTGCTAGACAGACTGTACACCTAATCTAGCTAAGTCTTTCCCTCTCTCCCTTAACCTAACTATAGGCTGTAGTGCTTCTAAAAATACTATTTTATTAAAGCAAAAATTATAATAGTAATTACTACTACCTATAAAGTATAGCTACTTTAACCTTAGATATTAGCATAATAAGTGCTTTAGCTACTAGCACTAGCTAGACTTTTATAGCTACTAAAAAAGCATAGAACTAGCAAATACTATATCTCTATAATAAGTTAAAACAGCGTAGGCACTACCTTTAGTAATAAGTATAATAAGAGCTTTTAAATATTTAACAGCTATAAGCTTTTTAGCTAAAAGTAGCTAACCTTTAAAACATTACATAAAAATACTAGTATTAAGTTAAAAAAGACTTTATGCCTAGCCCCCCCCTAAAGCGTTTAATAGCTCTGCTAAAGACTTAAAACCCTTCTTTATAAAGTGCTACCTCTACATGTATTATAGTAAAAGCGCCTTTAAAATAAATAAAGAAATAATATTATAAATAAGCTTACATTTAAAAAGATTACTTACTATATAGTTTTAACTTTATGCTAATAATTAGATAAACTACTAAGTAAATAAAGAACTTTTACTACCTAAAACATAAAAAGTTTTTAAAGACATTAATTTTTTTAAATTAGCTCTAACTGCAATCTATAGGTTAGTTAACTAAGAAAAATAAGTAGCGTAACGGCGCAGGCAAGACAATGGGTCCGAATGCGGTATGAATCCACTCAGAGGCATATGGGAGTGCGTGGGGACTCAGAGACCTGGGAATACCAATGACACCTATAGGCCTTGTACGTAGGATATCAGAAAACTACCGAGCTAGCTACAGGGGCGAGGTGCGACTAAATACATGAGGGAATAGGGGTAACAGCAGGGGGCCGGGCAGAGTCGAGTCAGGGTCGAACCAGGGTCGGAGCCGATACGGAGACCCTTCGGATAGGTTCCGGGCGACCCGAGATGGAACGATTCATGAGAATCGTTACAGTTATAGGCTGCAGCAGCTGTACAAATTAATAGACAAGGGTTAGACTTAATTAAGACAAGAGCAAGCTAAAGTCTGCCTTCTTTTGCTAGAGATTAAGCTTGTGGTTGTTAAGCTATAGTTAAAGGTGTGGACGCAGTTTCGCGCGGTTTAGTAGGGTGCGCAGCTTACTGATGTCCGCAGCTTACTAATAAAACACGTTATAGGCTAAACTTTTAACTAAGAGTGTAAAGTAGTCATTTTAAATTAAAGACAGAGGCTAACTAGCACTAGCAGATCCTCTAGGCAAAAGAGAACTATACATAAGTAGTGGTGTGTTCTAGGGAGAGAGGTAGTAGCTTTTTCTTTTCCTGTATACTAGACAAATAGACTGTCTTTTTTACATATCTTTCTTTTCTAATCTTATAATAAGAAAAATAAGTGCGTATAATAAAAAAAATAAAAGAGATAGGCTTTATATAAAAGTGTTGTTAGTCTAGTTAGTCTAAAGCATCTTTACACATAGAATCTAGCTAGTCTACAGATGCTTCTATCGAGACAGAGAGGTAGTTAGTTAGGACTAATAATTAAAAAGCCTAATTTAGTGTTTTCTTTATACATGTATTTACTAAGTTATTTTTACTATTAATCTACTTTATTTTAGTAATTTCTCTTTTTTATATAATTTATAAAGTAATATAATGTTAATTATAAGTTACTTTTTACTAGTAGTGCCTAGCTTAATAAGGTAATTATATAAAAACTTTAAATTTATATAAATTACTACTAAAATTAGTAGTAGTTTAAGTATTTATATAATTTACTATAAAGTTATACTAAAAGTAATTATATTATTAAACTTTCTAACTATTTAATATAGTTTACTAGTAAGAACACTTCTAGTTACTCTTTTACACTTAGCAGAATTTTAGTGTATAATGTTACCTAGTATTTTAAAGTAGTTACTTTGCTTTATATAGTCTTTATTACTTAATATAATTAAAAATTCTAGCTATAAGCTAAAGTTCTTATTATTAGTAAATAATTTATTTATAAAGATAAATAGCTTTACACTATTAAGCTGTAATAGTAAGAAGGTAAGACTATGCTTACTATTATCTATCTGCTATTAAATTTATATGTTAAGTATATTAATGTTATTATATAAAAGGTCTATAGTTTGTGTAGTAATAGATAAGTTAAATGCTGCCTTTAGTTAATATATAAATATAATGTATACCTTTTTTACATAT